TGAGGTAGCTTCCTGAATCTAAAAAACACCTAATTACCAAACAAACTGTTGAATGATTGTTAACATAGAGAGATAAGCTTGAAGTTTGTTCCAATCAAATTGACAATATCACAATCATCTATGATGGTTCACTGGAATGAATGAATTTCATCGTGAAATGTCAAGCATTTGTTAACGGTAATGATAACAATAACAACGAAAATCATCGTGATTCTAATGGTAGTGAAGGTGATAATAAAAGCAACAATACTGGCCATAATTAGACAATTACTAAAACGGAAACAAGTTGACACGAAAAAACCGAATAACGTACCAAAACTGAAACATAATCGCCTATTTCTGCCTCCCTTTCGGTTTCACTGAATTCATCTGATTGTGAGATGCATTTCTCAAATACTACTTTGGTACCACTATCAGCACGACCAACCAATGCAGTCTGCGAACGTTTACTTTGCTGAAACTACTTCGCTATCTTCTCTGAGAGATGAAATTCTTGAATTTCAATTGAATTCAAAAGGGATTGTGACGAATAGATGTATAAAGCAATGAATGAAAATTCCTTAGTAATACTGCAATCATAAAACAAACCGATTCAACCAGAACAAGCTGCACACTACCGATAAGAGATTTATTAAGGATCAGAGATTGTTCACGAAACACTTTCGCTAGCTCTAAATGCCTCTGTTGTTTAACTTCCAATGGAACATCATCGTTCAGTCGATGATACGCTCTCGTTCTCTATAATTGGCATACTTTCCCAAATTTTTGTTTCATCTTTCAAATGATTCACTTTGAAAAATATCCCGAATAATAAAAATTCTGCACCTATGATTTGCTTTTTGAAATTCACTCTTGCAAGTTCATTCATGTGGGTTTTATTCTGCACGAAAGCGATCTTCGATTATGCTTCATAAAAATTCAAAGAAACAATTTCGATGATGAATTATTTTGAAACAACGACTCGCTCAACACAACTGCATGCAAATTTCAACGAAAACAAACACTATCAAGAAATAAAGTTTTGAAATTAAAAACTGTGGTTACAATCAAAACGAACTACCTCGCGCATACTGTATGGGAACACATAACAGAACGAATACTTAACGTGACGAATCAACTCCAGCGTTTGCAGATGATCACGATCAGTTTCACCACAGAAACCAGCGATAAAATCGCTCGTTAGCGAAACATCTGAGAATCAATTGATTTGAAGTTATCAGTGAAATCGACCCATTAAACTCATTGAAAATAGCAACAAATTAAAGTTT